AAAATAAAATTAAATACAGAGCCCCCTCTCCTGCTTACCTTTTTGCAGGGAGGAGGCGAGGGGGCACGATCTCTGGTGCTCTGGCGGTGATTAGTAAGGTCTGCTGCAGACCTCACTAATCCATCCTTTCTTTCGGCCGGAGCTCAAAACTGAGCTCCAGCTGAAAGGATCTGAGTGCCAGTGGTGACAGGAGCAGCTCTGCGGTCTGCATCCGACAGAGATGCAGACCGTGTAGCTGCATCTGCAAGTCAGGTACGCGGTCCATGACCGCGTACCTGACTTGTCAGCTGGCTGCAGGCCACGTAGTACTGGCTCGCTGGCCGCAATTGGCCCGCGGGCCGGTACTTTGAGACCACTGCTTAAAACCTTTTGCCTGACCTTGAGGCATAAACATTTTGCAACTATTGCAGAAATTCCCACTATGAGCATTCATAGAAGGAACAATTTTTGTGGAATTTCCTGGCCAAGAAGATTTGAACTGTTTCTGCATAACCACTTATTATTTTAATAAAGTTTCTTTTTGTCCAGGTGACCATATTAAATCTGAAAAGCGTGTTTTGCTAAGCACATTGGGAACATTTTTAGGTAGCAGTAGTAAAAAGTATATTTTTATTAATTTTTTAAAACATTTAAACTGGTAGCTTTTGGTAGCAACAATAGTGAAGCCAATAAAGAATAAACAATCTACTCTTTTGGGAAGTTCTTTTGGGAGGTTGTGTTGTATAGGGGTAGCACTAGAAGTAGATTTTGTTGACATGTAAGCCAATGCATACCTACACTCCATAGAAACAGTGTATGCATCTACAATATGATATTGCACCAAGGTGTGCTTTGCTATCAAAAATAAACGTTAGAGCAAGACTAGTTTGCCACTGCACATATAGACAAAGACCAGGTCTTCTGGAATAATGTGCTGTGCACTCTCGAATCAAAGATAGAGCTGTTTGGCCACAGTTACAGTATACACTTTTGGTACAAACTGAAGACAGCATTTCAGGAAAATAACCTTTCTATCAACTGTGAAAAATGGTGGTGGAAATGTTATGGTTTAGGGTTGATTTGCTGCTTTAGGGCCTGGGAAGTTTGCAGGTATTGAGTCAACAGTGTATTCTGCTCATATCAAAGTGTGCTTGATGAGAATGTGAGGCCATCTGTTTGAAAGTTGAAGTGGAAATGGGTCTAATAGATAATAATCTGAAGCACACCAAGCCAGGACCTAAAAAGAAGAAATGAAGTGTAATGGACTCTAGTCAAAGCCCTGCTTTGGATCCCATTAAAATGTTGTGAAGAGATTTGTAGCAGGCAGGAAACCCACAAAAATCTTATAACTGAAGGAACATCGTAAAACTGATGGAATGTTGCATGGAGGAGTGGTCATAGATTTCAGAGAAAGACGGGCAGTTTTGCAAAATGCCTTAAAGAAAGCAATTTGTTCTAGTGGTCAATATTGATATTTTTGTTGAATCAATGATTGAAAAAACACATATTCCTTATGTTTTTATTAAGGTATCTTTAGATGTAGACACTGATGAATAAAGATCTGGTAGAAACCATTACAAAGTGGCACTCCCAAGATCGCAGAAATTGCTTCGCAGATGCTTGGTATTTTTGGCTCAGCAGTAATACTGTGGTAATACTTACTTCAAAACCATCCATCGCTGGCCAATAAGGTGCTGCAATTTTTCTATCTTAAAGGCCCAGGGGAGCACCAACTTTGCAAAATGGAACTCCCTCAGCATCAAGTTTTTCCCAATAATGAAACGCAATGAGGGCTGCCTTTGCTTTGAAATCCTGATGCAAGGGAAGTGCTAAACACATTTGTAACTATGTGTTTACATTTGTAAACACATAGTGCTTTATGTGCCTTTTTTTAAGCAGTTGTACAAAATATGTTTTCACATTGGCCCTTGGAGGGTGTAAATGGGTAGGAATGTAATGCAAACTGTACCATTTTAGTTTAAGTCAGATTCCCTACTTAGTGTTAGTGTCTATGTAGTCAAAAGCTTAGCAGCACTGCTGCTGCAATACTAAAGTCTGAGGAAGATAGGATATGAACAATGTGAATAGTACTGTAGGATCTGACAAAAATGGCACAAAACACTAACTGATGATGATGAAGACTAAGAATAGAACAAGGTTAAAGTAATAATGATCAGAGCTCTTTGCAACATTGATGATGTAATGATGTATTGATGATGATGGTTAACATATGGTATACATTGATGGGGGCTGGGAAAGGTACATAAATACTCAAAGCATTGTGGTCAGAGGTGGTTTAGCAGGTGGGAAAAAGAAAAGAGAAGGGCGCCCACCCTAGTGTAGAGGGTTTTCATGATTATGAGTTAAAAAAAAGAGTAAAAACATACTCACAAAAGTGGATCTATAAAAGCATAAAAACGAGCCTATGCGATAAATGAAGAACGGCTGCACATATGCCTGTGTGTCAGCACGGGACTCATGTAATGACGTGTTTCCGGGGCCACGCCCCCTTCGTCAGAACATATCCACTGCCTCACTGGTTTAGCAGGTGGTTTAGGGGTGGTGCAGTGTTGGTGGTTTTGTGGATTGTAGCGTATAATGCCCATTTTCCTATAATTGAAATCTTCATATCACAATGTTAAAAAATATTTGGGTTGGATACAAAACCATTTTTCAAATTATTTCTTGGCACAGGTACATTGGTGATATCCTTTTTTTCGGGACAGGGTCAATACAAGATCTCAATTTGTATGTATAGGCGCTAAATATGAACATTTTAAATCTAAGATTCACAATAACATATGAAACAGATGGAATTTTATTTTTTTGACATTTTGATTCAAAGACAAAATGATGGGGCCATAAACAGTTCCCTCTACGGCAAACCAACAGTGGGGGATATTATCCTGCATGGTAAGAGCAAATATATAAGTCTTTTATTCATAATATGGTCAAAACCTTAGACTGTCCCGTAAATTAAAGTGTCACATAACAAATTGTTACGTAAGGCCGCGTACTCGACAAAAGAGCTGAAGGACATTAAAAAAATTGGAAATGTGATAACAATGTTGTTCTCATAACAGTTTTTATAACCAAATTATAATGGTAGCATGAAAGTATTAGACAAATCCTAATGCATCATTGGCATTATAATTATACAGGATTTATATAGCGCGAACAGTTTGTGCAGCGCTTTACAATATAAGGAAGACATTACAATCACAATACAATTCAACACAAGATGGTAAGGAGGACATGCCTCTGAGGGCTTACAATCTAAAAGGTAGGGACAAGTAATACATGAGGAGGTAGCTGTGTGGGGATGAATTATTTGAGAATGTGATGGTTGAGTGGTTAGTTTGAGGTGGGATAGGCTTCCCTGAAGAGATGAGTTTTAAGGGATCGCTTAAAGGCAGTCAGACTGGGAGATAGTCGGACAGGTTGGGGTAAAGAGGATGGGAGAGACTCTAGAGAATTCCTGGAGGCGAGCATGGGAGAAGTTGATGAGGGAGCTGGAAATCAGGAGGTCTTTGGAAGAGCGGAGGGGACAGTTAGGGTGATACTTTGAGACAAGGCTTGAGATATAGCTGGGGGCAGAGTTGTGGATGGCATTGATTACTTACAGATTTACAAGTAGCTAAATTTATTCCACCTGTACCACAGATGACATTTAGACAAGCAAAATCCTTAGGGGATTTAATACACAGTAACTTTGAAAAATAAAAAATAAATCTTGTAAAAGTAGAGGCACATTAAAGTGCAATAATTACCCTTTCTTACTAAAAAATTATGAAATAGTGAGAGTTGTCTGTCTTTTTAAATGTGATTGCGAAAACCTTTATTTAGGAAATTCTAAAAGACAGGTTA